ATAATATAATATAGTATATTACTCTAGGTCTTTAACTATTAACTTCAATATACGAATATACCAAATTTTATCTACCTGGCTGTAATTATATATTTAGATAAGATTCTTCTATGGTTTTGCCTTAAAACATATCTGAGAAAATTTCATCAGAACACTGAAACATGTTATTTTAATAATGATAAGACATAATGTAAAATAATAATAATGACAAAACTATTCATTCTTTTCTTTTTCTTGGTACAGATCATTCCCGAATCAAAGTATGGAATTTTGGTAATATTGCCCTCGAATACCTATACCACTGGGCACACATCTGTTCAGCTCTAATAGAGCTGAACCAAAAGCTAAACAGTACTGTTAGACCTCCATTGCCCTCCCAAACGGACTCATATCTGTATGCAAAAATGCCAGGGGAAACCTTGCTAGGGAAAAACTAATGGAACTGAAAGAGCATGTAGGATATTTCTGGTGTGTTCAGTTGTGTTTGTTCACTATAATATATTTTCAATAGGAAAAGAATGCCATATAGATCTATTCCCCTCTTAGATATTCACTTCAGCACTTTCTAAAACCAAAAGTGCTATCTAAGGAGAAATCTGATATAAAAAATATCCAGTTAAGGCAGTCATAACCAAATGCATATGTTATAGAATATGTTTAAAAGTTGCCTTTGAATTTGAACTTTGCATCTGCCAAAGAACTACTATGATTGATTGGGTAGAGTTATTTTAATTCTTTTAAGTTATAGCATAAAGAGCATGAGAGAACAGGCTGAGGATTTAGGGAAAGGGAAATGGCAGTTTTTACACTAAAAGACTACCAAGTAATTAATATTTTAATAAATGAACTGGGAATTGTTTTTTAATTTTTCAGACTTCTCTGATTGCCACATCTCTTAACGCTCCTACCCTTTACCCTGGCCCTCACACCTTAACAACTTAAAAGCCATTTAATGAATAAAAAGTCTTGTGGGAAATGTTTGCCCATGACTCCTGGAAAAAAGAAAACCCCTTTTATAATGGCAAAAAACTCTTAAGTTCAAGAACTGCAAAAGGAATTTATATTTGTTTAAAGCTTTATTATTACAGCAAAATTTACTGCTCGGCTGCAAGATTTCATCTTTGCAATAAGATATCTGATGACAAAGTCCATTTTTAATAAAATTTTGGGAAATTAAACTTCATTTTCTTTATTTGGTTGACAAAATGTAATGTGTTCCAAACATCTTATAATTGGAGCTTGAAGATCCCTTTTTAACCTCTTCTGATAAGACGGTGGTGTGATTACCAGTCCTCATTTCTGAAATGATTATATGCCCAGCCTTAACCTACAAGGCTGCTTCATATTTGGAGGAGGCTTTTGCAGGACATTTGCCACAATATTTCTAGGAACAATGTTCTTAAAGATATTAGACTGATAGGCACAAATCCTGATGGCTTAGGAACAAGCTCATGGAGTTTGTTATGAATACAAATGGCAGTTTAGGTAGCTAAGAGAGGAAGACTTAACAGAATGCTACTGTTTTAAACTATTATGGAACTTATGTTCCCTATATGGATTCTAGCTTAATGATAACAAATACCATATATTTGCATGACACTTGGTTGAATGTTTTTACATACTAGCTAATTGAATTTTCCCAATAAACCATAAGGTATATGTTGCTGTTGTAAAGTACTGTCAAGTCCATTTCAACTCATAGCGATCTTGTACAGGGGTTTCGAGGAGCAGCTGGTGAGCTTAAACAACTGACCTTGCAGTCCAACTCATTAACCCACAGAGTCACACCAGGACTCCATAGGGTATATCATCCAGATATTATTATCCCCATTTTAAAAATGAGGAAACAGGCACAAGGAGTGAGCGACTTACCGAGGTCACAATGCTAGTAAGAGACAATAAGGGGGAGGCAGGGCTTGATGGCGGCTAGGGTGGATGTGCAGTGAAGTTCACCGTCAGCCATATCACAGCATACCAGGCAAAGCAGATCCAGAGCAGAACTCCAAAACTTGGATGCACAGAGATAGGAATATTTTAAAAGTTTGAAAGCTTATAGCTTGTGGAACTTGAAGCTGAAGTAAGAAATCTGAGGGGCTCAGAGGCCCGGAGCCAACATCTTGGACGAAACTAAACAGTAAGACCAAGCGGTGGAGCAGACACACCACGGAAAAATGCCACAGGAACCTTGGAGCAAAGGTGGACAATACACTTTGTCAGTTTTGCTTTTCTTTTTTTGTTGTTATCTGGTCATTGGTGCACCCACTGTTTGCGCACCTCCATTCTGGTGACTAGAGGGGGTGGGGAGCCTGAGCGAGTGGACACCCCCACCCTCACCACTGGTGGGTTCTTCTGCCACGCATGCGCACAGATACTCAGCCCTAGAGCAGCCCCTGAAAGTTTTGTTTTTTAAAACGGGAAAGGGCAGGACAGGGCAGTAGAGAGGGAAAGAGAGTTTAAAAACCAAAGAGGCCGAAAATTAAATTAAAGCCTGAGGTATAGCATAGCAACCAACACTGGTATCTTGAATCTCTCAGGCAGGTTTGAAAGCAAGAAGCTGAAGAGAGGACATTAAAGGCATGCTCATACTAGGCTACAGATTTTTTTCTTCTTCT